GAGGAGGAGGGGAGGAGGAACATGAGGAGGATGAAGAGGAGGTGGAGGCGGAGGAGGAGGAGGAGGAGGAGGAGGAGGACCAGTATAAGCCCAAGAGTCATCAACGATGTTGGAGTAGACCCTCCCTCCAAGCTCCCTCTTCATTGGCCCCTAAAACAGTGATGGAACTGCCTCGTTGGAAGACACTCGTTTTAAGACCTTGACGCATGCTAAAACATTGTTTTCAGGATTCCAACAACACGGACCACCCTGACTGTTGCGTCTTGGCGATTCTGAATCGTACCAGAACGCCAGTCTTAGGACTTCAACACAGCGAATCAACGTAACTGTTGCACCCGCATAATCCCAAATCTCTCCAACACATCATTTCTGGTATTCTTGATGATGGGAATCTGTGAACATCTGGCAGTTGTTGACACGGATGTGCGCGGCGCTAAAGCGAGAACCACATTTTGAAAAGGAGCCGCCATCAATCCGTGAAACTCTTGCATCTTTTTGAAACGAATGTGCGCGGCGCTAAGGCGAGAGCCACATTTTGAAAACGGCTCGCCGTCAATTCGTGAAACCCTTGCAAGTTTTTACAGCGAATGTGCGCGGCGCTAAGGCGAGAGCTACATTTTGAAAGCGTCTCGCCTTCAATCAGTGAAACTCTTAATTTCTTAAAACGAATGCACGCCGCGCTAAGGCGAAAGCCACATTCTGAAAATGACCCACCCTCAATCCGTGAAACTCTTTTAAATTTTTAAGCTTCAGAGTCATAAGTTGTGAGGAGGTCTCAGTCGAAACGCCCGGCCTACCTTAAAACACAGGCCCCGGGGTGCGACAGGGAGAAGTTATTTATGAGGAAAAGGAGTGCATGAGGTGGAGGGAATAGGAGGAGGAGGGAAAAGGAGGAGGAGGAGGAGGGAAGATGAGGAGGAGGAGGAAGGGGGTGGAAGAGGAGGAGGAGGAGGACGAGGAGGAGGAGGAGGAGGAAGAGGAGTAGGAGGAGCAGGAGGAGGAGGAGGAGGAGGAGGAGGATGGACAATAATAACAACCTGAGGAGGAGGAGGAGGAGGAGGAGGAGGAGGAGGGGGAGGAGGAGGGGGAGGGGGACAAGCTAGGTGCGCTCGCGTCATATCTGACATCCTACCCCTCCCTCCCATCCCTTACCATGGCGTAGATCCCCTCTCTACTCGCACAGTCGGATGTCGAGCAGGGCAATGATCCCGAAAGGGTACGCGATACATTGTAGAGCACGGCATGGCATGGCGTAGAAGAGCACCGCAAAGCGTAGTATCAGCCTAGCCTTGCATTGCATGCCGTGGCATGGCACGGGAAATGACGCCAGCGCTGCAGCGGGAGCACGAGTCGGAACGAGCGGAAGCGCGGAAATGACGCCAGCGCTGCAGCGGGAGCACGAGTCGAAACGAGCGGAAGCGCGGAAATGATGCCAGCGCTGCAACGGAAGCACGATTCGGAACGAGCGGAAGCACGCCGGAATCGGCCCGGGAGGCTTCCCGCGCGCCATAAGCAGAAATTCAGCATTTTCAAAAGAACGATGTGTATTGGGATGGCTTTTTTTCGACGCCGCCTCGGAACTCGATTTTCCGGCGCCGGCCGGAACCGGCTCCGGACCCGGCCCGGGCGCCGGCGCGGGCGCAGGAGGGGGGGAAGAGGGGGAGGAGGAAGGGAGAAGGAGGAAGTAGAGGAGGAGGTGGATGAGGAGCAGGAGGAGCAAGAGGAGGAGCAGGACGAGGAGGCGGAGGATGAGGAGGAGTAGGAGGATGAAGAAGAGGAGACACATGATCAGGTGTAAGAGGAGGAAGACGAGGAAGAAGCGGAGTACTAATACCAATCGGGTGAACAATTCTAATGGTAATACGAAAGCGACAATTATTCATAATCGTATTGCGAAGATGAAGGCGATCATTTATAATAGCGATAAGACGATGCATACGTATACTGATGTTAACAAGAAAGAATATGGAAACGAAGACGACATTTAAGAATACGCCGAATATTACAACAAAGCGTAATACTAATGCGAAGAAGACTACTATCACTACCACTACTACTTCTACTGCTACTTACAATGATATGCGAATGCTACGAGTACAAATCATAAGACGACTGCTACTACTACTGGTAATAGTAGTACTTGTGATACTGAGAATACTAGGGATAATAAGAAGTGTAAATACCAATAGTGGTAATACGAATGAGAACCAGAAGACTACGAATAAGACGAAAACGCTGGAACATGAGAGGAAGGATCATACGACGAGTGAGAAGAGTAGTACGAGTACTACTAAGAAGAAGGGTACTGTACGATTCTTAGCCACAATGAGAAGTACTTAGCATACTACCAAGCGTAACAATAGGCATACCAATACGAACAATACGACACAAATACGACTCATGATATTCATAATAGTCGTACGAATGTGAATATCACGAAACACAATCGCAATACTACTATGAAGAATAATACGGATAATATTACTGATACCAGTAATAGTACGACACACAGAATCAGAGGAATAATACTACGAATGAACCATATAATAGAAACGTACGAATCAGCATGCGACTAATAGTCGGAAACTGCGCATACCAATATTTACAATGCGAACATCGATTATTAATTACAGTAACTGTGGTAATACTAATAAGAGTAGTGTGAACCATATGAACAATACTATAATAATTCGGCGACAAAGAATCATACTAGTTCGTAAGAAGAAGAAGCAGAGGAGTAGGAGGACGAGGAGGAGGAGGAGGAAACTGAAAGGAGGAGGAGGGGTAACGAGGTCGAGGAAGAGGAGCAGAGAGGAGTTGCAGGAGGGGGATGGCATCCGACCTGGCCGAGGTGGGGCGCCTGGGCCCCCTGCTCGGTGTCCTGCGGCGGCGGCACGACGTTCCGGAGCCGCAAGGCGAGCGGGGCGGCCATGGGTCGGGGGCGGAAAAGAGGGGGGTGATGACTAGGGGGGGGTGGATATCATGGCGGGGGCCATGATTATTCCCCAGATCTCATGGACCCTCTTCTTATTTCATTACGTCCCTGGCCCCCCCGCTGGGCCGCGCACATGCCGCCGGTCATGATTTGCACCCCCCCCTCCTGGACACCCCCCTCTTGGCCGCTCCCTACATGGGGAGGAGGGAGAGCAGACATGGACCAAGGTGCGCGAAGCAGCAGCGGGTCCCGTTTCATGCCACTTCGGCGCGTTCCGTCCCGGGTCAGGCGGTGGGGCCTCTCGCCCTTGGTGAGTCTTCTGGGCATCCGCGCGAGGCTCTGTCGCTGCAGCCCCGCCTCCAGGTTCCGCTTCGAGCCGATCGACCCGCTTCGATCTCTATCCCTGCCGGCCCGATCGGATTCGATTCCGAGGCTCCGGCGCTCCGAGGCGGCCCAATGCCTGCATGGCGCTGTCGTGCATCCTGTCGCGGCCGATCCGGTTCGGTTCCTCCCTCTCCTCCTCCTCCGTGCCGATGCAGCCCGATCCGAGCCGCACTTCGACCGGATGCCGAGCAGTCCTGGGCCTGCCTCGTGAGAGCGGGCGCCTGGAGATCTCATGTCGGGCCTCCTCCTCCAGAGCTGAGGGCTCCCACGAGGGCGCGAAGTTGTTCGCGCCTCGCGATTCGCGGTCCTCGTTCCTTCTCCCCCTCCTCCTCGTCCTCCTTTTCTCCCTTTGCGGGGGCGGCGCGAGGGCGCGAAGTGATTCGCGCCTCGCGCTTCGCGGAACGCGAAGCTCGAAGTTGGGAGCCCTGGAAAGTCAGATCGGCTCATGGCTCGCCCAGCACCTGTTCTTCGCCACGGGGAGGTCCGCTGGGAGGGTGCCCGACTTGCACGGGTGGCCCCCCCGAGGGATCAGGCACCCCAAACTTGCACAAGTCCTCAATATACTCTGACAAGGGGACACATCATGAACATCATCATCACCGTGACAACCATCCATCATTCAGCATTCGCCAGTCATCGCTATTCATTCATCATCTTCGCGCCGCAGCCGCCGTTGTGCAGGCGTTCTCGGGCTTCCGAGGCGCGGGCCAGCGCGCAGCAGGAGGCGGTCAACTACGAGAGTCTGCACCGACCGCGGGCCTCTAGAGGCGGTGACCGCGGGCCTCTAGAGGCGGTGCTCGTCTAGGAATGCATCTGCTGACACATGTCCTCCTTTCTTCTGCCTTGGGCCTTGAACCCCCTTGCCCTTATTCTGAGGTTCTGTGGCGCCATTCTCCTACCTGTTCTCCTGTGAGGCCCAGGGGTCCAGAGGTCCTGAGGGAAACGGGTCTCGAGCTCGTGATTTTCGGCCTCCCTGGGACCCTCCCAGGCCCCAGGGCCGTCAAGACAACTGGTCAAAACGATCCCAGTGAAGGCCTCGGGGCCTACAGTGGAGGCCCATGCCAAGAAACACCCTGCTTGCCTCCAGGGTGCCCTTGGTTTCTTGGGTTTCGATGATTTGGCTATGGAAGCGTGACGTCCCCACGCCAAAGGTCAATGGACGCACCCTGGGGTCTCAGGGTTGGGTTTCTTGTGGAAGGCTTCTTGTGGACTGGCCTCCTCGACCAGGGGGGGGCGGCGGTTCCGGAGAGGAAGGGGGGTGGGACTTTGAGGAGTGGGTGCTCGGGTGCTGCCAGAAGTGCCCCTGGCCCAAGGTGCCCCCAGCTTGTCGCTCCATTCTGGAGCCCCCTGGGGCCCTCTGGGCCTCGTGAGGGGTGCTCTGGAGGCCCTGGGGGCTTCCGTGGAGATCCTGGGGGTGCCTCTGGCCAGGGGCACTTCTGGCAGCGCCCGAGGTGTGGGGGGGTCGGCGGTCCGAGGTCGCACGCTGACCCCAACGTCGGGGGGGCACTTCGGGACATGGTCCGTGGAAGACCCAGGCCTCCGCCTCCTCCTCCGCCTCCGCCTCCTCCTCCTCCTCCTCCTCCTCCTTCTCCTCCTCCTCCTCCTCCTGATCCTCCTCCTCCTCCTCCTCCTCCTCCTCCTCCGTGGAAGACCCAGGCCTCCGCCTCCTCCTCCGCCTCCG